TGGGGGTGGGTCTCTCACCAGGGTGGCTGGTAGACACCCTACCTGCAATGCCTAGCAATAAATTTCACAATGCTCACAAAGTCCGTTGAATGACAAGCCAATAAAGTGTAATAGAATACAATCATTTTCAAAGAAAATTATTTGGGAAGTCAACTATCAAGAAACAGCCTATACCAATGGATGTTTGATGTCTATGACAAAGAGAGGTACGGTGACCAAGTATCAGTAGATGAAAGAGTTCCTGATTTTGTAAGTCATGCTTTGACTCTTAATGTTCCTCTCCCCAAGTTCTGCTTGCCCTTCCCCCAAACTCAAAGGCTATTAGCATTTGGCAAATTGGTCTTCTAATTCTCTCCAAGAAGATCAACTTCATTAAAACTTCAAAGTTTTAATCCTGTATTGCTTGATGGGATTTCTGAGGGATAAAAAGAATCGAGGGATCATGGGAGTTGCTACAAAGACAACATGAACTTCCAACAGAAACATAATTTGTAGAATTGAATGTACTATTGTAGAAAGGGGATGAGAAAATCCATGGAAAATGCCACTTTAACCCTCTGGTGGGGTTCTGAGAGGAAAGAAATCTCGATGATAAACGTCAAACCAGATGCATTTAATTTTCTCAATTTTTGTGGCTCAGAATCATGAGTCATAAGTCTAAGAGGAGGGATTTTAAACTCAAATCTCAGTGTACTTTGCCAGAGAGAGAAGCCCATTTGTGAGCCCTACCTTGACTAAGAGTTCAAGTCATTTAGAAAACATCTTTCCCTTTCACAGATCAGATGATGAGCATTTGGTTCCATTCACTAGTGTTTGGCTTCTTCAACTCGTCCCTGTCTTCGATGTTTTCAATCCTCTATGTCAAAGACTGTCTAATAGCAAAATGTGGCACAGTAAGATTACCACCCAAAGCAGACTTACCTAGGAAAGCATGAAGGGCACGGAATTCTTTTCAGATAAGCAAGATTGTACGAGTGGAAAGAGTAAGTGCCTACACAAATGAGACCACTGAAACTTCACAAAATGAGTTTTAATTTAGGTTCACTTCCTTGAAGTATTTAAAGCACGGATCATAGATCACAGCTTTTGGGGAGCTTGAAGAAACAGTTGTGATCTGTCATTGAGTATATGCGTTTTATACCATGAAAAGGGGTTTCTAATGAATTTTTTCAATGTTTCTAATGAAGCATTGATTCTCCCTCAAAATGTATAAGGAAAGAATAGCCCATAGAGAAGAAAAGTGAGATGATGTTGATTATACTTTATGCTTGTTTGGTTTCTGGGTAGATCTCTCCTCATATTGAATCACCAAATTTCAGATTCTGAAGCGACCTCAAAAGTCATCTAGTCTGCTGTATTAGTGTCTCCAAATGAATCCCTGACCAAATAGACCTAAGTGCTTAGTTAATGGGAAAACAAATACATTATTTAACACACACACACACATACACACACACATACCCCTATTGTTTCACTTAGAATTATATTATTTCCCTGAGAAAATCTCCCCTACTGAACATGTAAGATTCACACTCCATTCAATAGCTCTCTCACTTCTAACTAGTTTTGGAGGTTGGGATGCTATTCATGTGCTTACCTCTCCACCAACTTTCATTCATTTTTGCTCACCCAACAGTAATATAAAAGGGGGGTAGAGGGGACTGGGAAGGCTGAAGGCGGGGCAGGGCAGGGGAGAATAAGATAGTCCTTGTACTATAGAACAACATTAATGTACCAATGAGCAAGGTCATCTTTATAGTAGTCAAAGGGGGCTGCTACTTTCCTGGATATCTGGTCTCACATCAAATAGGTTCTTCCCAAACAATGTGATTTCTAAAATAGCTGGTTTATACTCATACACAGACTCCTGAGATCCAGGCGATCATGAAATGAGGAAATATCAAACACAAGTGTTTCCAAAGACAGTTTGTGGCTCACAAATGAGTGTGGAGCCCCTCAGGTTTTGCTCCTCAATCCTTCCCCTCAAACAGAGCACAGAACAGCATCCAGGCAACTAATCCCAAGCACCCCTACCTTGCAGTTCATTGTCTCACAATCTAGTAAGGTACTTAGAAGGATACAGTACTTGAAAGTGATGTTTTCAAAAGCCTGAATGACTGACATTCCCAAATGTCCTCTCTTATCTCCCAAACCAGCAAACATTGATCTGAAAATAGGAACATTACTATTGTACATTAACAAAGAAAACATGACATCTTAGAGTGTAATGTCATAGCTATCAACATTCTCCTGGTTTTGAAGTTCCACATTTCAACTCTGCTCAAAGAGAATCATATAATTTACCAAGATTCACTAATAATTGTGTGTCAGTATTTTATCCACATATGGGTCAACTGGGAGACCTAAGGTGCTAAGCAAGAGAAAGAGGAATTTCCCTGGTCAGTAGGTGAATCACCTACAGTCTCTCAGTTGCTAGGTGATTGCGACCTCATTTCCCTCATGTGCACTGGACTCCAAGTCCAAAAAACAAGCTTTTTTACCTGGGAGTCAAAGGACCTAGACTCAAGCAGTTTTCATCATCCTAGAGAAATTTGTTATCATGCCCATTCCCTTAACCTTCTTGTGCCATTTGTTACCTGGCTTGCGTACTTCACCCAGAGATGGTTTTATGAATGGCAAGATCCAGGTGAGGCAGCACAGAAAGGTACTGTTTACCAGAGTTGGGGGGGGGGGAAGTTCCTTCATGAAATCACTCTGAATTTTATATTCTTTTGATTTTAGCAAGTTTTCTCTCCACCTCACTCCCTTTCCACCCCCCCAAATCATTAAAAAGCCCTGTCTGGTGCTGTGATCCATGCTGCCAGTCTGGAGATTTGGGCTCACTATAAATAGGTTCTCCCCAAGCAATGTGAATCATGGTTGCTGAGAGCAAACCAACAGATTCATTATTTTGCTTTGTTGGTATTAAGAATAGCACCCGATCTCAAAACCAGAAAATCTGCTAGTTTGAGAACTGATTAAATCCTTGGGTTTATAGATGAAATGCATGCTGCACTAGCCCTCTGGATATCTTCACAAGCTTTGACATCTTTGGAATATCTTACTTTATCTGACAAACTTCAACTAGAAAACTAACCATCAGGAATCTCTCTGAGAAGATACATGGATATACATGAAGTCAGATGAGAAGAGAGGAATACTATGGTCAGGTAGAAAAAAAAATAACAGGATAAATTCCAAGGTGGTCTAAAATTCACTGTTCTAAGAAGATACTTTTGGAAGTATGACCAGCAGCCAATGACATGACACCATTCTCCCAGGTTCAGTGTTATTTTACCGTGAAATGTCTATTTAGTGAAAAGGGGAGTCCAGTAAAAAAAAAAAGTGTGATTTCTTTACTCACATAAATTAATTGATATAGCTACAGGTTAGAAATACAGCCAAGGGAATTCAGAGCCTTGACATTTTTTTCCATGAACACTAAAATGAAAAAAAAAAAACACAAAAAGGGTGGCAGTCCTGTCAGATAGAGGGGTGGTTTTGACTTGTCTCAATTTCTTAACTATGGCATAGAATTATTCAGTGTCTTACCAACTACACAATGGGAAAATCCATGGAACACAGCACAGTTCAAGAATTAACTCCAGGGTTTTAGGGAACCATTCAGACCGAACCATATTGTCTGGTTGAGTTGTTTACATTTATGAGGCCTTGAGATGCAGGACAAAGAGCACTGGATTTTGACTCTGAAGGTTTGGTTTATATCATAATTCATTTTTTACTACGTATATGACCAATGAGAAGTAATTTCCTTTTCCCTGAGACTCAATTTCCTCTTCCATGATAGCAAGGGGTTATTTCAGGTGATCACTACTCTTCCAGCTATAAAATCTTGTGATGCTGTTTAGTTTTTTACTAACACAAGAGGTAAGTGATTGCTCTCCTTTCATTTAATATTAGATGTCTACGATAAATATGAAATGCATCCTTCACTTGTCTTAATTTGCGCAATAATTGAATACCTTTAAATCTCTCATCTAAAACTTAAGCTAACTTGACTAGACTTTAAGAAAGGGACGCTTCCATTCAAGGATTTGCCTCATCCAAGTGTTTTTGCCTCGGCCCAAACAAAACACACAAAGTAACCAGAAATGCAAAAGGTTAAACGAACCAGCAAACCTTTGTTGTCCCCCACTTTCTTTGGGGAAGACAGTAGACTCTTCTTTGGCCTCTTCTTAGAAGTCCAGGCAGAAGAAATGAATGCTTGGAGTCATGCACTCACACTCAAGCAGTCAGATAAGGGAGAGGGGGGAGCGAGAGAGCGGGAATTTTGTTTGCTCTGATTCTCCCAAACCCGGGCTCTGGCTCTCCTTCAAAGTGTTGCCCATCCTCGCCTAAAATAAGCACTAGTGGGCTGATACGGCTCTTGCTCCTCCCGTCACCTCCCTCCCCCATTCTCCATTATAGAATTTAACGGCATTTTAAGTTAAGAAAAGGGAAACCAAGAAGCTGGAGACAACGCAGACAAAGCCTAGCTTTGTCCTTTCCAGAACTGACTTCCCCATCAGGCCCAGAGTCGCCGACAGCTGGCCTGCCGGCCTCTCGTCCTTACAGATTTCAAACCCCTGAACACAAAAGGCGGGGAGAGGGGAGGCTAGAGACGAACTCCCAAGAGAGAGCGAAGACTGTGGGAAGATGATTACAGGAAAAGGGACACATGGAGCAAGGATGGGGAATGTGTGGAAAGGAAGATCCTGGGGTAAGCTGACAGGACGTGGAAGACAGAGCCAGGAGGGACTAGGCAAGGAGGGAAAGCAGTTAGTGGAGGCTTTTGGAAGGGAAACGGGATGCAAGGTGAGAGAAGGAACCATCCCGGCCCAGGCCTCTGGAGCTCATTGTCATTGCTGGCGCTTGCTGAAGCCTAGGTGGGATGGCGAGGAAAGGGGCGCATTCGGAACCCAGGTGATGAGAAAGAGGAGGCTGCCGGGGGTCGGGGGAGGGAGGGACGCCCGCCGCGGGTCTCGCTTGCTGCCACTGACCTGGTCTCCGCCTCACGGGCCTCTTCCGGCCACTGCAGAAACGCACCTTGCTGAACACCCCGAGGACATGCCTCTCGCACAGGGAGCGCCCATCCTTGCTGGGGCTGGAGCGGCGCTTGGAGGCCGAAACCCGATCGCTGTTCGATTCCCTAGCCTGACGCTTCTGGCGAATCAACGAGCTGGCGATAGCCGCGGCCATCGCGGCTCAGCCGTCGGGGCCCTCACTCCAGCAGCCCCTGGGGGCTCCTGGGCCCGAAGACGAAGGAGGGCTGGCCGCCTTTCCTTCTGATCCAAGGCAGGTCAGTCAGGACCCCGAAAGTGCCTCGATCGGGCAAAGGGGAGGCAGTGCCGAGGAAGCTCTGTGTTGGCTGCGGGAGAGAAAACGGGGCGCCCAGCAGCCGACCAATTCCGTCTGGATCCGCGGGCAATTGGGGGGACCACGAAGGAGCTGTTAGTTGGTGGGGACAAAATGAAGATAAATCCGAGTGTTACACTTGCCGGGGCGCCGTGGCAGGAAATGAAAGCACGGGCTTTCTCTCTGCCGGCCGAGGTCACCCCGAAGTCGGGCTACTCCCCAGAGAGCCCCCCGCGCTGGCCCCGAAGTCTTGGAGCCGTGGGACTCCGCTGTCCAGGGGAGGCTGAGCAAGGCGCTCGGCCAGGCTTGCCTGGAGTCCGGCCCGGCTCTGTAGTGTGTGTACGTACACTGAGGTGCGGCCCCAAATCAGAAGGCGGTTCCGGGCCCGGGGCCCCAGACACCTGCCCGGGGGGGGGGTCCTGGCTGCACCGGGACCCCCCAGAAAAGGTGAGGAAGTGAGAACTTGCTATAAAACCTGTGCACAAAGCGTTCGGCACGCGGCGGGCAGCCGTGCCCCCCGCTCCCGAGAACAAAGGCTACAAAGTGAGTAAAAGACGGGGGCCTGTAGACGGGAAACCCCCGAAGCCGCGATGGGAGGAAGAGCCGGGCAGCCGCTTAAGTCCCCGCTGGCGGCCTCTGCCAGACCGAAAGAGCCATTCCCCCCAGGTCCGCCAGCTCTGCCGACATCGCCCACCACTCCCAGGCTCCCGCGGCGCTTGTGTGGACCGGTTGATCTACGTTTTGTTCCAAACGGACCTGACGGCCGTGCTTCTGGAAGCCAAAGGCTGCCTGCAAGGGGAGGGGGGCACAAATCGGGGTTAGGTGGGATGGGGTCCGGGTACTGGTGGTTCACTAGGTTTGGTGCGGCTGTGGCGGATGTTGCCAGCTGTGGGGCTAGCTCCAGGAACGCCAGAAGCTGTGGGAACCTCGATTCACCACGAGCGGTGTAGACAAGGGAAGAAGGGAGAGAGGGGGGGAGGGAGGAAGGGAGGGAACAAGAAAAAGAAGGAGGGGAGGGACCTTGGGGAGGGAGATCCCCGGGAGCCTAGCGCCCCCGGGAACCGCCCGCCCCCACGGCGAGGGCACGGGGCGGGGAGGAGCGGATAGAGAGCCCAGTCTGCAGGAGGGAAATCCCTTTCTCCTCCTGGATTAGCTCCGCACAGTGGGAATACCTTTGGGAAATGAGCGTCTGGAAGGGCTTGGCAGGGGCACCCCTGATCTCCAGCCCCGTCGGAGAAGCTCTGCCCAGGATTGGCGCGGCGGGGAGTCTCTGAGGGTGCTCGACGCCACCCAGCCCCTCCCTGGGCCGCTTTAGCAGGGCTTCCCTGCCATGGGTCGGCCCAGAAGGAGGAGGGCCCCGGCTCTGGAGCGTCCCAGGCTTCAGGGCATCGCCTCGAGGGCCCTGCTCCGAGCCTGTCGGCGTGCCGGCGCACCCGAGGCGCCGAGCCCTTCGCCCCGGGTTCGGAGCGGCGTCCCCGGCTTGCACGCAGACAACAGCCGGCCCAACCGGGAGAGCGATCGATTAGATCCGAGACGCAGGCGGCCGCGGACGCTCAGACAGTTCTGCGGCCCCCATCCCAGCCCTGGGGGGAAGGCGACACGCGTCCGGAGCAGCAGAAGCAGGCGGCGGAAAAAGAGGAGGGGGCGGCTGGGGAGGAGGCGCCGGGCACCGGCGCGCTGCGGGCACGCATCATCCTGCCCTTCGGCGGCTGCTGGCCTGAGACGGCGGCTGGCAGGCGCGGCAGCTCCCGGAGCGCACAGAGCCACATCGTCGTCTGGCCCACCGGGCCCTTCGCGTCAGCCCAGGGGAGAGCCGGGCTCCCGGAGACCGCCGACGGCTCGCTCCCCAAGGGGCACAGGCTGCCCAAGAGCTAGCCTGCCCCGCCGTCAGCAAGCGCCAGCGGCCGCCACCGCCCCAAGCCCGCCCCGCAGCAGCTGGGTGCCGGCGTGGCTTAGCGCAAGGGGCATTCCCGCGTCGGACGGAGAGGAAGGTCCGGGGGATCCATCGGCGCCCCCGGGTGGGCGCTGGAGGTCAAGTTCAGGACTGAGCCTAGCTCTCAAGGGGCTTAGTCAGAGCCCAGGAAGGGCTGGCCCGCCCGCCCGACAGAGCCCCGGGTGCCCGCGGCAGATCGGGCTCAGATTCGGGCTCCGGCTCCTGGTCCGGCTCCTGGTCCGGCTCCTGGTCCGGCTCCGGCTCCGGCTCCGGCCCTGACTCGCCTCTGAGTGGGGTTCCAGGCTTCTGTTCACTCTGGCTGGGGCTCACTCTGGTCTGGAAGAGGAAACTCCAAGCAGAGAAGGCTCGCTGGGGCAAATGACTGGGAAGAGGAGGTGGGGGGGGGGGGGGGGAAAGGGGAAGCCTTCCGAACTTGTTCCTTGCAGCTTGGGAACAAGAAAAGAGGGGCTGGGGGGGAGAGCGTTAAAATCCAGCCGTCAAGAGCGGCTGGGCAGCGATGGAGCGTGGGCTGCTGTGCCCATTTTCTTCCTGGGCTTCGACTGATGGCATTGGTCTTCCTCTCCCCCTCCCCCAGCGCCAGCGGCTGCCCGTGTTTCCCTCGTTCTCGCCCTCCCTCCCCCTTCTCTTTCTGTGTCTTCTGTCTCTCCTCTTCTCTCTACGCAATCCTACGTGATTGAGGTTTGGATGAGAAATTCTCAGAGGCAGAGCTAGGGAATTGCAGTTCGAGTGTGCCCTGTCCCCTCCTTTACCGAACTAGAGAGAAACCATCCCCTGGTCAAGACCTGCCCAGGAGAAAAGGGCCCTACGGCAGCCACGGAAGGGGTGTGTGAGCTGCGGGGAGGGGGGCGAGAGGGGGAGCAGCCTGCCCAACTGCAAGATGAAACACCTACTGTGTGCAAAATGTTGATTAGACGACGAGCTGGGGCTAAAGAGCAGTAGCAAAAGGGAGAGAGAAAAACACAGTGAGAACCCGGGGTAAGTTCGGCTTAGTTAATGGGAAGCAGTTGGGCATTAGGGAATCACAAGGTGAGGGGCCTTCAGATCACCTGCTGAGACCACCTCCTTTAGTCCATCTGAAAACAGCTAAGTGAAGGCAGGGAGTCAGAGCCTCTCTAAGAGTCATTCAAGTCCCTGAATCTTCCCAGAACCTCCAGAAGATTTCCTGGATCAAGAGGTTCCAACTAAGGTAAGCATGGTGTCATAGAATGAACCGTGACTAGGAGCCAGGAACACCGCTGTTCAAGTCCCTCCTGAGATATTGACTGAGAGACGATCCTGGGCAAGTCACTTCCCCATGGCAGGGCCTGTTCCTCTCTCTGTAAAATAAGTGGATTGGATTGGATCATCTCAAAAGTGCCTTCTACCTTTATGTAAAGCCAAGATCCATTGTATCTGTGCTGGCTTTAAAGTATTATTGACAACCAAGGTCATTTGTGACAAAGCTTGACACTTTCAGGAAAATAAACTACAAGGAATTAATCCATTTAAAGGAGAGTGTTCAACATGAGAGGGCATTTTTTTCTGTTCTCTATGCAGGTCAAACTACATCTGAAGTATTGTGTGTTGTTCTGGGCACTACAATTTGGGGAGGATGTTGAGGAGACAGGGCACACAGAGAAGAGTAATAAAAATGGTGAAGACCAGTTCAAAGAAATATAGATGTTTAGCCTAAAGAGAAGAGAGAATAAGAACGTGCTGGGTTGAGGATGAAGGAGAAATTTTTTTTTTTAATTTGAAGGGTTGTTACATGAAAATGAAATAGATTCTTCCCTCTGCTCTTCACCTCAGAGAGTAGAACCAGGAGTAGTGGGTAGAAATTGTAAAGAATTCATCTAGACTTGATTCCTGGGTATGAAAGGGAGAAATATAATATAATCAGAGCTGGGTATCAATAGGTTAGGCTGGGTTTCAATCAGACACTGGAGCATAACTTAATAGTAATGTATGATGTCTGAAGTCCCTTCCACTTCTGAGATTTGGGTCTGACACAGTCATTCTGAAGTCCCTAGAATTGTTGTACATTCTGGTTTCTTTTAGAACAAGGATATGATCCTGTGTCACATGATGGGCACTTGCCCAGTAAATGCAAACAATAGATACGGCAAGATCCCATACCTATTCTCCTCACTCTTTACCAAGCAGAAACATGATGCTGAGGGCCATCAGCAAGACACAATCATAACTCATTTGCTAAACAATCTGGAGGAGTGCTCTGTCAAGTAGAGCACACAGAGGAGTGGTGTGTTCAATTCTGGGCACCACATATGACAGCCTTTAACAAGCTTGAACACACACGTATTGAGGAACCTGACCATGTCATGTGAGGATCAGTTAAATGAAAGAATGTTTAGCTTTGGGGAGAGTAGGGGGGAAGGAAGGAAGGGCACAGAAGAGCTATCTTCAAGCATTTAGAGGATGCCATGGAAGGATGGATTAGACTGGTTCTGCCTGGACCCAGTGGACAGAACTTGAGTCAAGAGTTAGAGATAGAGAGGAGAATGTCAACTTATCATAATTCGGCACAACTTCCTAACATTCCAGCAGTATAAAAATAGAATGGGGTGCCTCAGGAAGTGCTGAACCCCTCCATACTAGAGATCTTCAAGCAGATGCTGGATGTGCATTGAAGACAATACACTCCTTAAGCTACAGGTTGGGGGAAAATGTTTATAGGATTATAGATTTAGATCTGGAAATGTTCTTGGATTCAATCAAGATTTTCCCCCTCAATTTACAAAAGAGCAAATTGAGGCTTAGGGAGACTAATTGACTTGCTTAGAGTCATATAGTTAATAAGTATTTAAGTCAGGATTTGAAATCATGTTGATTTACCTCCAAACCTAGCCCTCCATCCACTGGTTCACTTACCTGCCTCAAGAAGTCTATCCAA